GGGGGCTTCCGAAGGAAAAATAAGTCACTCTGGCACTTATAAGCGAGGTTCTCGCAAGTCTCATCGGCTAGTGTGGCTAGAGTTTCCATTGCAACGGGAGACTTGATATACCATCCGATAGAGAATTAAATTCTCTACAAGATGGAATTTTCATGATAGAGAGAATCGATTTGTAGAGGGGGCTTCCGAAGGAAAAATAAGTCACTCTGGCACTTTTAAGCGAGGTTCTCGCAAGTCTCATCGGCCAGTGTGGCTAGAGTTTCCATTGCAACGGGCGACTTGATATACCATCGGATAGAGAATTTAATTCTCTACAAGATGGAATATTCATGATAGAGAGAATCGATTTCTAGAGGGGGCTTCCACAGGAAAAAAAGATCGCTGTAGCACTTTTCAGCGAGGTTTCTCGCAAGTCTCATCGGCTCCTGTGGCTAGAGTGTCCATTGCAACGGGAGACTTCGTGTACCGTCGGATAGAGAATTTAATTCTCTACAAGATGGAATATTCATGATAGAGAGAATCGATTTCTGCAAGGGGCTTCCGAAAGAAACAAAGATCTCCGTCACACTTTTTAGGGAGGGTTTTGGGAGTTGTCATTGGCTCCTGTGGATACAGTTTTCATAACAAAGGGAGTGTGGATATACCATCCGATAGAGATTTGAATTCTCTGCAAGATGGAATATTCACCATAGAGGGAATCGATTTCTGGAGCGGGCTTCCGAAGGAAGAAAAGATCTGGATTACAGTTTTCAGCGAGGACTCACGAAACTGGGATCGGCTTCTGTGGATAGAGTTTCTATTGCAACGGCAGAGTGGATATACCATTCGATAGAGAATTCAATTCTCTATAAGATCATGTCAGCGCTATAGAGAAATTCAGTTTTGAACAGGCCCTTGCGTCGGAAAAAAAGATCCGACTCACATGAGTCGTAGGGTTGGTTGAAGTATTGCAAGATATTTTGGCGGGCCCATCGTCCATTGTGGAGAGAGAACAAATACATCATTCGATACAGAATTCAATTCTCTGCAGTAGGATCGATTCTTTAGAGGGAAAATCGATTTTTAAACGCTTGACGAAGAGAGGAATGCTAGTTATTTTCGGGTTATGACGGTAAGTTCAGAGATTATGGTGGATTTTTTCGGAATTTAGTTTTCGTCAGAAAAAGAGGTAAGACATCACTCAATGGATATATTTATGCTGAGCATGAATAGAAAACTTGTAGAAAGACAATCGGTCGTGAAAAGCGTTCGAAAGAATGATGATCATCGTACTCTGGTGTCTGTTTTGGAGTCGAATGACAAAAATGATATATATTGTGTGAGGATTATCTATATTGTCGTTTTTTGAATGGCTTCGTTTTATTTATTTTGTTTAATTATAAAAAAAAAGTGTTCTTTTGTTTTCATTTCAGTTGATGTTTCGGTTTCGTTGATGTTTTTTTCGTTGTTTTTTTGATGCGTTGATTAGTGTTTGGGACGTATATGTCGGATATCTATTGAATAGAATTCCAGTCAAGTTATCTGGTATGCGGAAATTACTTGTACTTACGTCTGATATACTGTCATCGGATATTGGTTCTGCTTTCCGAAGTATTTCTTCAGCTATTTGATGTCTATATAGATTGATTTCATCTTGTGGAATAGGTTGATGTTGTTCACGATTGATGTATGCTTTAGCTTGTGTTAAAAGATAGACACCACATGAATGTTGATCGTTTTGATGTAAGTCGAAATCTTCACTTGGTTGAGATAGTTTCCAACCACTTTGAAAATCTATATCAGTTCCATTCTTTAAAAAATTGTGAATGTTTATCATATGTATGAGACGTTGTAGGTTTTGTTGACGTGGAAGATCATGTGTAGGTAATGAGTCATATTCAATTATTAAATTTCGTTCCAGATCAATTATTACTAAATACCAATGATGTTTTTGATTGATCGGACAGAGAATAATATCGTAATCGGACCATGATTTTTTAATGTGTTTTATTTTCTTCTGAATTATTTCAGATACTGTATGAGTATCCATCGCTAAAACTCGTTTGTGAAATGTTGCTGTAGTTGCAGTTATAAATAAATGAGCATCTATAATCAAATCATTAATATCACCATCATTATCCAGCAATAGTTTAATATCATCTCTTTTGATTTGTATAGGACCGACTCTTAAAATGTCAGTAAATGTTGGTAAAAGATCTTGCACAGTATCGATTGTCCATATATCTGGTTCCACACTTTCTGCTAAAGTACTTTGATCAAAAGTTATTTTATCGATCAATGGTGGATAGAAGACATTTTCATCAGTTTCATAAACGAATGTTATCCAACGTGATGCTAGACCTGTTTCATATGCTGATACATTACGCAATTCTTCAAATTGACCAGTAGTTTTATTCAAAGATGAATAACCATTGGTAGTCTTTCTTAAATAAACTATTTCATCTTCTTCAAGTACGATTAAGACTGTTTGAACATGATAGTGGAATGGTAAATGCGTATCAAATGGTCGAATACGAATTTGATTTATATCATCAATTAAACTTATACAATCTTTACCAACACTTTCAGTTTTCAATAGAAGAAACCGTGGTATATCATATAAAACAAAATTAGTCAATCCAGATGTTTTGCAAGACGAACATTTGATTTCTTCGTACATAAAAGAATTCATTTTATGAGTAACATGTGATGCATCTTTTTTCATTTGCCAAACTTCATGCATTCGAGCAATAGTAAAAGTTTCTTAAATAAAAAAAACAAAATAAATAATCTTCATATTAATATTATTTTCGATGAAATAATTATAAAACCAGCATTATTTATATAAGAATCATTATACCTTTTGAAACACATTCGCATCAAAATAATCGGAACAAAAACTTTTCTCTTAAACTCGTAAGACTATTCTTCAACTACATTCAAATATCAAATAGAACTTGATAATTGTCTACTTTTCAAAAAATTTTTCTTGTTTGAATAGAACCATAAAAGAAACATAATCAACTAATATTTGTATTTTACCTGTTTTACAACTTGAGCAATTGAATAATTTAATAACCACTAAGTTGAGTGGATTATTTTCAATGAGATAATGTTTTGCAAAATAATTCGCAGCATCATTCAATGATAAATGTGGTGTTAATGATACATTTATTGGTGAAAAATTTGTGAAAACGTTCCATAATGCTGATGAAAATACGTCGAGTTCAGATGGCCGAGTAAAATGAGCCATCATAACTGGTTGATCTTTACCTTGATCTTCAAAAATACTTGACAATTTCACTAATGTAATATTTGTATCATTGAGACAATACCAATCTTGTTTCCATCGCGCATATGTCACATAATGTCCATTATCATCTGTACCAGTGAATAGAATAAATGATTGTAATGTATAACGTGAATATGAACTAGTGCATATAACATTATTTGATAAAATTTTTGCAAAATCTACATGTTCTGTTAATTTAGGACGTTTTCGATTTTTGGTCACCAGCGGATCAAATCGAAGAAAAAGATTTTTCGGACAATTTAATATTGACATTGATGTAGGATGAAGATCATTTTTTAAACAGTGAAGACATAACTGCATATTCAATACTGGACCAAATAGATCAGCCATAATACTATCAATAGTCTCTTCCTTTGTTGTTTGATCCACGAAAAGATAGCTCCATGTTTCTCGAGTAATTGAAGTGATTTCTTGACAGGAGGAGCATTGCATAGATGTTTCAAGAACATATTGAAAATTAATATTGTAGAATAAAAGAAGTGGTATGATGGCTGCTTGAAAAAAATCGAACACACAATATTGTTTATAAGTTTCAATATTAAAGCCAGCCCAACGAAGAAATCCAAAATGATCTTTAATAAAACTTTTGTTTATAATTACTTGTCTTCCATTAGCATGCCTATTGATAGATTTAGATATGAAAGCGTTTAATATGTTGTTTAATACCATAACTTTGTCCGGTACTAAATCTTTATCAATAATATGAAATTTACGTATTGTTTCAACAATATGACCAGATGCTAACAACATTTGTAATATACTATTGAACCAACAAGTATTACCAGCATTCTCAATTTTTACGAACGATGGAAGTTGCCCAACATCTACAACAAAAATGGAATAAGGATTATTTAAAAAAAAGAATAATTTTGAAGAAGTTTTTTTTTTGTTTCATTTACTCTATTAAGTAGAATATTCTTATTCAATATTCAACATAAAAATTAGCTCTGAGTAAAAGAATATTATTCGATTTATCTGTTTATTTTGATTTCCTTTTAGTGATCAAAGAGTTGAAGTGTTCTTCGTTTCCTGCCTATCGAATTTCAACATATGTCTAATATAATTACCTAAATTAACATCATCATTTCGACCTAACAAACGTGTATTCACCATAGCCATGAGATTCATCGATGGTGTCGTGGACGTATATATACCTGTAGCAGGTTTTCCAGTCTTCTTATGTTTGTTCCATGGTTCTTCAATTTTTTTCTGTTTTTTCGCAGGCAGTAATCGACTTTTTGTTCTTTTTATCAATATGAAATCGGCAAACTGAATTTCCACTGCTTCAATTGTTTCTCCTAATTTGCTAATAACTTCATCGATTCTTGTATACATCTTTTTACTAAGTATTGCTTCTTTTAATACTCGCATTTGCGATTCAGAAACACCAGTTGTTCGACCAAAATGGCATGAGCATGGTGGTACCACCGATTCTAAAGAATATCCATAACGTTGAGCAAAATTACCGAGAAGAAGATTGCTCCAAATAGGTGCTGTTGGCATGTATAATTTAAGAATACGAGTTAAATATGCTGCTGAAAATAATGGATTAGCTGGTAGATCTTTCCATTCAGAAGCATCGTACATCTTTAATAAATCTTTAGACTGTTGATAGATTGTGATAAATAATGTTTTGAATGATGATTCTATATGGAAAGGATCGTCTTCGTCAGTTCCAACATCATGTGTAGTATCATCATTGTCCTAGAGAAATTCGAAAATGAATATCGGTTAGATAAAACAATTGATATGTTCCTTTTTTTTTAATAATGTTTCAATAATTCATCGCTATGTTCTATTATCTACTTTGATTTTCTAGCTTCACAGAATAGATGATGAAGAAAATCAAATTAATATCTGAATAATTTGTCGAAGAATTATATTCTTGCTATTTAATTATAGAAAATAACTATTTGAATTATTGTTTTATAATTAGTCTACACCACTGCTATACGGAATGAGTGCGATTCAAAAATTTTACAAAATATAATAAAATATCAGTTATTGATATTTTGATTTTAAATAAAAAAAATATTGCATGTCTTATTCGACATATGATTACTTGCATCTGAATTCATATTACTAGAAATTTGTCCCTTCGAAGTCACTGATACGCCTTGAAGAACAAAATTCGTCTTCTCTGGATCACCATTCATCTGGTCGGCCATTTTGGATAGTGTTGATAATGATATTTTAAATTGATCATTTTGATTAGTACTTAGAAGAACAATACAGATGTTTCGCCAAATAATTATCATTTCATCCAATGTATTACTATTAACAAGTAATGCCATGAACCACATTCCAAGTGAGATCTAAAAGAGAAACAAAAACAATAGAATGAATCTTTTTTTTTTCTAAGTATTCATATCTTTCATCAAGTTGTTTATATCTATATATAGTACCTGTTTTTTGCCTAAGACTTTCGATGCATTCCGTTTGACGTTTTTCATAAAATGACCAAGACATGCATGTACAATTGTTACTTCTAAGTCACGTTTGGTAGCAGTTCGTTGAATAATTCGCCAGCATCGCTCAATATAACGATTCATAGTTTCATCACCGTTGAAGACTTGAATACTGGCAAGAAGAAAAACTGGTGAACGATCACAATGAATAATTGGTGGCTTCGGGAATGTATTGGAAAAACCGTAGACTTGTTTATATTTTTCGATAAAACAATTCATCCAATGAACAATATCCATAGTACCATGAGACGCACTAACCATTACCGTAATTGGAAGTGATGAACCACCTTTTTGAAGACTGGACATCGTTAATTCATAATAAAAGATTCGTTTACCATAATTAATTATAATTCCACCTGTTGCATCCCATGATAATGGCATACTAGAAGCGAAGCGATGGTAAGTAGCTATACCTCCTGCGGTAAAACAAATTAATCGCAATGGATCAGTACTTATTTCTTGTAAATATCCAGGTATAACTTCACCAGGAAAAATTTTCTTTGCTTGTTCAACTTTTAATTCACGAAGACTTTTATCTAAATCATCGTCTCGACGTAATTTAACATTAGCTTCACTTGATATTTTACGTATTACTGAACGACTAGATCCGACTACATTTCTATTTCCTGCTTCTTTATTAGCTACTGACATTGATTTAAGTTGTTGAAGATGAAGTGCACCTGGTGTGACACCCAACCCAGTAAATTTCTGTAATTCTTCACGACGAGAACCACGTATTGGTCGAGCGTGTGTTTCACCTTTTTTATGTCTAATTTCGCCAAAGTAATCAATTTTTAGTCGACCATTTTCGCTTATATTAGCATGAAATCGGCATGTACATAAATCGAACGTGCAATGAGCATCAGCACTCATAAAGAATTGATTTGTATTACCAATATTAGCTCGACTAGTAAAATAATGACGCTCATAAGTGAATACACAAAAGTCATTTGAGTAACTAACATAACCGTCTAAAATTAAAGTCCATTCGAAATATCTTTTTCGATTTTCTATATTCAAATCATCATCGCTATTGGTTGCAGTATTCTTCTTATTTTTTTTTTCTAGAGAATCAATTCTAAATTTTTTAAGGATATCCATATGGTATTGAGAAATGACTACTGCTTTCATTTGTTCAATTCGTTGAATTTCATTAATATCATAAGTAAAAAACGAGGAGTCATCACCTTGACGTTGCAAATATGTGAGCACCTTTTCCTGTTCGTCAGTAATGATTGTATGATCAGATGTTTTTGTGGGACTTAGGATATTCTAAATAATGTTTTATTGATTAAAAAAATTACACAACTATTCTTAAAAAAAAGTCAAACTTTAAATTTCTTACTTTAACTTCTTTTATTACACGTGATACGGAATTCAACTTGCTTGAAGTTTTCGATGTAGAATTTGTATCTATAATTTTCATAGAAGCTGCACTAGATGACTATGTATTATAAATAAAAGTTATTTTTTGAAAATCATTATTTATCAAATCAATTACTGATGATGATGATGATGTCGGTGACATAAACAACCGAGGTGGAGTATGAATAGGTGATATAGTTGCACTTGTAGTATTCATAATGTCAATTGATGATTCTATATCTTTATCCTAAGTGTATAAAAAAAAACAGATGATTTCAAGTTTTGAAAAATGTATAACAACTACCTGAAAATCTCGATTATTACTTATTATTTGATTCAATTGAGGATTAGGTGAGTCACGGTTTACATTCTTTCCGGCTTTAGAATATTTCTCATCGCTCTAAAATTTATAAAGATGTAATTTTTTTTGATTTTATTCTGAACCTACATCATTTGATAAATGAATATCTGATGATTTTTTCATTTGATTATTTAAGTTATCAGATGATTCGGCACATTTGCAAAGAATTTTAATAGCAACAATATCACCGGAACAGCGTACAGAATGAACATCATGAGTACATATCACAGGAATATTCTTTTGTTGTTGATATAAAAGTTCGCATAACTGTTTCATGAACTCTTGATATTGTTCTTCTGTTGCGCTTAGTGATGAACACTAAAAATACAATAAAATCAAAGTAAATCTTGTGATCGATTTCATGCCTCATAAATATATAGTATCTGTATCACATGCTTCTTGAAATATATATTGAAACACATTTCATTCATTTTTTCAGGATGTTATTTGATTTTAACAAACTCTAATTCAAAAAAATTTGTATTTTGCACTTAATGTATTGCTTCATAAAAGTTGTGTCTTTCATCCCTCATAATGTTCTATAGAATCTGACGAGTACTATTCTTTGAAAAAGTGTTCCATATCTTGACTCATTCTGGTATTCATAATATCATCGTAATTCATTTTATCGTATTACTACGTGAGATTGGATTTTTCGTTTAGAAACAAATTTTGCTAATTATTTTTATTGATCAATAGCTCGTCACTTTCTATAACTCACCGTACTTCTTATCATTCTTCTTTCTTTACTGTCTTGTTATTATCAATTTCCATCCTTTTTTTTCTTCCTATTAATCGTTATTCACACTTAATATATGTACATATTCGAACGTGTATATGTCTAATCATCTTTCCTTCCTTCACCTATCTTGATATATACGGTGAGATGAGTAACAGAAATAGAGAACAAGAGAAAAAAAGATGATATTAAGTGTATACTTATAACAAACAAATTTGTTTATCAGCCTCACTTACATGTACTTGTTTGATTTCGTTATTAGTTGCAGTGGCTGTATGAGTTGCTAAATCTGATGAAATTGCTTGAGTAATATCATGAGTTACAGGTATATCCGATTGTTGTGTCTAATTGTGTTGGATAACACAATTCCAAAAACGTAAAAGTAAAACAATTTATTTCAAAATGACCTTACTTGTATATTCACTCTCCTCCGATCATAGTCTTGATCTATTTTGGGGACATCATTTTGAGTAGTGTTGTTGTTGTTGTTAGACTGTTGTGCATCCTATGATCATATTCAGTAATAATTATACGTATAAATTAATATTTTGAAACACATACCTGCAAAGTATTATTCACAATATTGTGCAATTGGTATTGCTTGCGATTCCATAGATCAAAGCATGCACGTTGATTTTTTTTGTTGTTTGCTTTACCCATTAAAAGACAAAGATGACCCCATATGTCTGATAATGGTGTAGCTCTATCTAAGAAAGCGACTTCATCAGTGCTAAGTGCTTGAAGTGCTTTTTCAAAAGCATCTTGTTCGAGTCTAGCTTTAGGCGGCATAATCTAAAATATATTGGGTTTACACCTTTTTTAATGATGATGTAATCAGATAAGATTTTTCTCTAGAATTATGTAGACCCAGTCTCTTACTCTTTACATAGATTCTCGCCTAACTCTCTTCACATTCATCAAATTTCAATACGAAGTATAATTAGAATACAGGCTAAAAGAAGAGAAAATGCTTACTGTTAATTTTTTAGTACATTCAGACGTATTTATATTCTTATTCCGTATCAATAATTCAACAAAATTTTATCTAGTATATCTTCAGATTGTACTAAGTGTTCGATTTACTAGTGTCTATCTCTTTATGTGAGTGTTTACACTAGTAAATTTCATTCTAAAGTACAAATGGGAAACTATCTTGTCTGATTAAGTTAAAAATACCAAGTACTTTAGTTGATCAATCAAAGAACAGATAACAACCTACTCGAAAAAAGGTATACATTTTGTACAATTGATCTCTACTTATCTTTATATTTAATTTTCATAAACAAATATTCATTCTATCGTTTCGACATTCATGAATGACTTCAGTAGGTCATTCTTGAATCAGTTTAGTAGGGTGTGCTGCTTATAGATGACAACAGTTTTCAATAAATTGAATATTCCAAAAATTATCCTATAAACAGAAGACAGCTAGTGTTTATGTATTATCAAATATTAAAAATAGATAGTGCATTATTTGATTAATTGAGAAAATGAGAGAGCTGATATAAAGTAAGTTTTAAGCAGCACACCCAAAATGTTTTTTTTTCGTATAAACAACTTTATTGTCTCTTTCAATTTCAAGTCAGACATCTATTCTGTATTTGTTTACACACTGAGATAAAATAAAATAACCTCGATTAAACATGTTAGACTGAAAGAAAAGAATTAATTTATTCATGTGTTTAACAATCTTTTTTTTTGTTATAATTTATATTATTTATAATTTTTTTAAGAAAAACAATAACTTCATGATGATTCATTCCAAAACGACTTTTTTTATTATATTCTTAATCAATCAATGCGATTTGATTATAAGTACATCGCCAACGACTATAATTATCAATGTAGACAAAGGTATTGCACTTGAACAAATTGGTGTATATTCTGAAAAATTCGTCGAATCAATTTTTCATATATTTATACCTTTCAATAATCTATGTATTGACTCGCCAAACTCTGATGTATGCGAATATGTTCAATCAACAGATCCAGATATTGTTGAAATTGGAACACTTATCTCACCTTATCACATGTCGATGGCATACAATCAAGCATATATTTCTCGTGCAGTTCAACAAGATATTGGACGAATTTTTTCATATCATAAAATTAACAAAATTATCGCAAAGGCAAAATCAATCGTCTACTTTGTTGATGATACATTTTATGCAACTCGTAGTAATAGTCAATCGATAATGAGCAATTTTACCATTTCGACTGGCGTTAATGAACGAACACTGATTCATCGTGCCACTAATACAGCAACATTAGCTCTTGAACAAGTATTCAATAATAAAGTTGGATACGACTTTTTAACAGATGAACAGATCGTAGAATTTTTACCAATAATCAGTTCAACCATTAGTCAAAAGTTTGAAATCGAAGACATAAAAGAAAATATGAATATGTTCATTAATATGATTATCGGACAAACTGTATATGCATTAAAGTCATGTTCAATTCGTCAAAATGAACAATTACCAGGTGGTCCAGCATGTCTTGTTGTTTCAACAATTATTCGACGTATTCCAATGGAAACATCAACTTTTTATCAAGTTTATCAATTGACACCATTACCAGTTTTTTTTAATGGTGATAAATATATCTATTCTGACTTACCGAAAAGATTTGGTTTTAACAACATCGAAAAAAAAGTTATACTATGGAACGATAATAATTTATCAACTGACTGCACATTTTCGAAAATAATACAATGTCGCAATCAAGTTATGAATGTTCCATTATCTAGTTTACCATGTCTTGACGAACTCATGAATGTTGAATCTTCATCCATTAGCAAGTGCCAAGTGACTAGATCAAAAAATATTCAATCCAATCTTATGAATATTAAAAGTAATATATGGTATGTTTTTCCAGGTGAAGAACCTTTTGAATGTGAATCACAATCATTATCAAGTCCAATATCAGATATTATATCTGTTAAAGAACCAATGATTGTAACATTTCCATGTGACAAACCTGTACGTTGTTCGAATATTCAATTACCACCAACTACATGTATTAACACTACTGTTATGATCACCACAAAATATAATACTACATTGAAAAAACAATCCGTTCCTGTAATTCTCTTTAACAAAATTACTGAGAGACTCGTCTCAATTTACAAAACGGCAGCAATGGAAGCACTAACTCAATTACAAATCGAAATTGACAACAACCAATGGTGGATTAAAAGAATTGTTAAACAATTTGGAAATACTTTATTGTCATTGTTCGCATGTGTTCTATTAAGTATTACTCTGTTCGTCCTTAAAATCTCAGGATGTAAAAACAACAAAAAGGTGGAGAACATCCAAACTCAAATAAATAGAATACAACGTGATATATTACAAGAAATATGATTGAAATAGATTATGATGTTATTTATTAATGAACACTTTAAATAAAATAACACATTGAAACATGCTACTGTTCATTGTTAGACAAAGCTGTAAAAATATATAAAAAAGGAAAATTTGTAGTACTGTTCAAAATCACCATTTGTTGTAGCTTTTTCATTCTATTAAAAATAAAGTTGCTACAGAAGATCAAAAATGCTTAGCCAGAATTGAACAAATATGAATAAAATATCACTATCACTAAGATAAATATTGATGAAATTTCATAGTGAATACGTTTTATTTTTATGACTCATGTTTGGTAGATAGCAAGATACGTAGTGAATTCAACTTCAATACTCTTAGTTATAAACATGAAGATCCACGTATGCAGTTTATATTTCTTTTAAGCAAAAAAAATGTAATAAGATCATCATGATCACGAACACTCATAATGATTGAAAGGAGAGAATTTTTCTCTTCTTAAGTGCACATGGAAGATAAGACGTGAGATACACTCAATAGACTTTCTTGTATTGCTTATGGCTACAACTATTGCCTATGTTTATCTATGAGATAAAACAAGTAACATTAATTGTCAACCGTGCATCAACACAGTATAGGATCGCCGGAAAAAAAGAATTTTATTTCTTCTTTTATAAGAAATACTAGATTGATTGCAATTTCATTGTTAAATACACCATGGACTCTCCTATTATCGCTATGTCTATTGCCATTGTAAGAAATGTTGTCTCTTAAATAATACAGTCAATGTCCTTAATAAGAACAGATTTTTTGGAGGTCGGAGTAATTCCTCTGCTACTAAGTCATTTCTCGTGATAAAAAATTTTTTTTTACATATTTGAGTGCAGAAATGTCTGCTGCATCGAATGATGAAAAAATCATCTAATTATCTCGTAAACTAATCAAGTAATTAGCGGTAGTTTGCGAATAATTGAATTTGTTCTTATTAGGTATACTGTTCCTAATAAGGACAATAACCAAAAAAATGTTCCTAATAAGAACATTTCTTATAAAATACATAGAAAAAAAAATTTTTTTAGTAAATCGACTTTTTTATTCTTAGAATAAAAAATCTCGATATACTTCTTTAACAAAAAATGTTTCTCGTCACTTGATACCATTGAATCTCAAGATTCAGATTTTTTCAATTTATAATAATGAAGTTATTACATTTTTAAAAATAGCTCACCTGTTCTTATTAGCAACACTGTTCCTAATACGAACAGTCAGCGAAAAAATGTTCGTAATAAGAGCATTTCATATAATTTACATAGAAAAAAAATATTTTTTACTAAATGAAGTTTTTGTATATGTAAACATAAAAATTTCTTTGCGCGTTCTTATAAAAAAATCTTTATCTGATAACAATACATTAATTTCCAGCAGTTCAAAGTAAACGAGGTTATTATACTTATTAATGGCTTGAGTTTAAAGTTGCAAATATTTATATTAAAAAAATGCTAGTACAAATATAATTCTCGAAAAAATATTATTTGATTAATAAATAGATAATATCAAAATATTTGCTTTATAGAATATAAATTAATATTTCAGAGATACTCAGACTTTTCTTTTTTGTAACGTTCAACAACAGACAATTTCTATAAGAGAAATGTTTTTGATATTGAACATAGACTTGAAAAAATAAAGGAAGTAGTTCAATTAAGAAACTATCCGGTTGAAATAAATATTGCGTTTTTATTTAAAAAAGATAGAGTGTATAATATATGTAATAGAGTAAATTGAATGAAAATAATTTTATTTCTAATCCTCTAAAAATCATGAATTCTAAAACGAAATCGGATAAACTATTAAAATTTCTATAGTTCAATAAATTATACGACTTTTTAATTGCAATACGAATCTAAATTACTACAAATTTTCTATTATTATTATAATTTATGAAAATTTTAATCAATTTTATATAGGGTCTTGATCGTTTAATGATTCATCGTAATGATGGTCTTGTTCCATTAATGGCTGCATCAGTTGGTATAACTAAATATGAACAAGCATTTCGTTCCATAGTTTGGCGTATTGATCAATTACCAAAACGAGATCAAGGTGCTCATGAAACACATCTATTTGAATGTAAAATGTCAATAACATCATATGATCCTATACCAGAAAAATATAAACCTATTGCTGATGTTGAATATTCAATGTCACAAGCATTTATTTCACATTGTCAAGTAAATCAAATTTAATTATTATTATTAGTAGTAGTATTAGTAATAATTTCCATTTGATTTTATTCTTTTCCATGGATTCGTTCAGTTGCTGTGCCGAATTCTGAAGAAACACCAGAAAAATGAATATGTCCAAAAAGTCGATTTACATATACAATTGATATTGAATATGCATTTAAAGAAGAAGAAAAAAAAAGATTTTGCACCTATTGAAATTGATATGAAAGAACAACCAATAATACCAAGTGGAACAGAAAATAATTCACATTCTGATGATAGTGATTGAAAACAAAAAATGATTAAATTTCAACTTAATTTAAATTATTGTTTTTTTTCTATGCAAAAAGAAATCAAGAATGTTGTTGTATACCCAAATAATATTTTCCTTTTATGTGATATTTTCCATTTTCACCTGCTTATTGTATTTATAATAATCTATACTATTTATTTTTTTTTTGTATTTTCATCAGTATTTTATGCATGGTCTGTGCTTGTTGGTTCATTATTTTTTTTTTATGTCTAATAAATAAATAAATAAATGTTCATAATTAATTTTAGATATTTAATAAAAAAATGACGGTTAATGATGGTGCATGTTCATTAAGACAACATGTTCAACATTCACTTGGTGATGATTTTATTGAATCACCTTCGATTATTTCAACAATTGGAAATGATGATGATGATGGAACTGAAGACCTTCAACTAAAAGCTGCTCCATCAAAAAGACGAGCACGTGGAGGTGGAAGACAATTACGAATAGGACGTAAAACAAATCCAACAGTAAATCAAATTGATGATGATGATTCAATGGAAATTAGTTCGATAAGAATGACAACAGGAAACAATAATAATAATAATAATAGAACATATGTTGGTCAAGAATCTGAACAAAAAGGATATTTTCATCATTTATTAGCTGGAAAAACAAATATACAAGTATTAGTTGATTAATGAATTGATTCCTATCAAGCTAATCGTGATGAAGCATTAATTGAATTAATGCAATTTTTTTTTGGATAGTACTGGTTGTAAGGAAATTAACACAAACAATGTATTTAAAAATGGAACATCCTGATATGTTACGAGCTATGACTGAACATTTTAATGAGGTAAAATATTGTGTTTTTTTTTGCATAATTAATTTACACTCATAAATTTTCCTTATATCTATATTTGATATGATTTTGGTCATTCCTAGTACTGTACAATAGATTTTTCAGAGTTTATAAACATTAAATCCGATCACTCAAGTAGCTTGACAAAAAAAATTATATGAATATATGTTAACTCTATTATGATAAAAAGTCGTACTTTCATATTAATTCAAGTCATGATTGTTTATATGTGCCCACATGCTTTATTTATTTTAATTCAATACTTGATGAATTATTTGTAATTGTTTGAAAAATCAAATTAATTAGAATCGGCATTATTATCTAAATATTAATATTTAAACAACTGTAATGTAAACTTTGTATCTATAATAGACATTAATTAATCCTAGATATGTTTATGATGTAGAAATCATTAAAATATCTTTTATTTTTTTCTCATCTATTTTTATAATATTTCGATGCTTTTGTTACTTGAAACAAGTGTAGCACTTATTTATAAATTTGTCTTATTGATGATTGATAACGTGTGAAGATTATTTATGAAGTATTTCTCTATCATATGTCAATATATAAACAGTTGCCACGTTCTAATTATTTTTAATGCAATGTAAAGCACAGCACTTATGTAGTCATGCACTAGTTTTTTTTCTTTTACTTACTTGACGCACAAAACAACAAAATTTTCAGGACTTAATTTTTTTTCGAGCTTGTTTCTCCGTTCTGGAATAATTAAAATCAAAGATAGAAAACAACGTTAGACGTCATTCTCTTCTTTCATATGTTAAACAGAGATGAATACAGCTAACCATCTTTAGTTAATATTTTAACAACTGGTTCTGTCTATTTATAAATTTTTTCTTTACATTATATGATCATTTTTTTTATTATTAAACTTTTAACAGAAATAAAAAATGAAGATAAGTTGTCGTTCCGCCTTGAAACAGGTATAAAAGAAGATTTCATTGACTTAAATTGAAAGCATTTTTTAAGCAACCTTATGAACACTTAATTTTGAAAAAATACTTAATAATCATATTGGCTCAAATGTATTTGTAAAATGTTTTAGAAAAACAATTTTGGTAACCAAAAAAAATATTTTATTTTTGATTGAATGTGAAAATGTGAAAAAATTAATAAATCAGTATGAGATTTTAAGTATTTTCGTTCTCATTAAATTCTATGAGAAAAATTCTTCCTTTTTTCTTATAGTTCATAACAAAGCTAACTCGTTATCTTTTTTCAGTCACTCCTTCTCAATCATTTACCTTACATATTTTGACCAATTTGTAGCATGAAAATGTTGTTTGCTAGAAAAAAAAAATCTTGAAAATAAAAAAAAACAAAAAATTTAAATTTACCAGCTCTATATTCTCTTCGTCGTCGATATTCCGACAAACTCTTCGGGTAGAACCAAGTACGCTAAAACGATAATAATGATATAAAAAACAATATTTACAAATGCATATATAACGCATACTTTACAAACACCACCAGCACGAACAACTTTCACACCTAACCAGCATACACCAACAAAGCTGCCTGAAGTGAACACACTTACAGCAATATGGACACCAATTGATAGCCACTCCACAAGACCTGACGGAAACAACGCTGCCTTGCGAGGAACTTCCGGTGTTTTCCATATTGCTGTAGATGTGGTCACTGTGTCAGGCAGCTTCGAAGCTGGTGCTTCCGTAGAATCATACTCTTCGTACGATTTGAACAAAATAGGCTAAAGCAAAGCATTCAGAAAAAGAACGGTTACACCAATATTATCACTTACACGAGATTGCGGATAGGCACATAAAAAACCAACACCAACAAACATCAAGACATAAAACATAATTAACAATTTCATTTTGAATACGTAAGATAGCATAAAGTAAATGAGGGTTACCCAAGAATTCAAAAACATATATATATATATACATATACATATATATATCAAGGGCACATATAATTCAATTACAACATACGAACAACACATCAAACAAAAACAATTACGGCATACCATACAATCAAACAAAACAGCAACTACACACATCAACATATCAATCCAATTCTCATATACAAAAGAAACAAAGATACACAATTCATCACCAAACAAATCAAAGAAAAAACCGGCCCCATAAAAAAAAACAAAAAATAAGAAGTACAGTACAACCCACCACAACCATTCGTTTATCGTTCAAAAAAACACAACCATATTCAAACAACCGATCAAATGTTACTCATCCCATGAAAAACTAAAAACCAGTCTAACTTATGACAAAATGCAGCAAATACATTTCTTTTCCCTTTCTCATCAATTTCAAAATCACGTGCCACTAGATACCCCACATCAACTCTTCAACCATTCAAACCTCCATCGACTAGAGTAATACTATTTCTGTATATGTGCCAATCAGTCACCAGCAGACAAATATGAAACCCATCATTAAAAACTTCATTATTTCCGATCTCCATTATCACAATTCCGGAAAAAATTCTTCTTCGAACGGCTCAATAACCCACGGAGCAATGACTAAACAACTCGATGCTCGAACAAATACTCTACTCAACTTCCCCAACCGATGCAAGCAGAGTGAACTGCAAGAGATTTAAACATGCTACATATAGCGTTCGACTACTTTTTCGATCTCCTCCCTTGCCTAACGTACCCCAAACTTCTCCATCTGAGATTCTCCACCTGAAAAAGAATTTAATTCTATATCCGACGGTATAATCATTGTCTTTTTGCAATGGATAACAACTTGACACTGACATTTTTCAATATCTGAAAGAAAAGTTTTTTTCAGGTCACAGATATTTTTTTCTAACCCCGCTAAAACTTAAATCTCTCCATCTGAGATTCTCCATCTGATAGAGAATTTAATTCTCGATCGAATGGTATATTCACTCTATCGTTGCAATGAATTTTAGCTGGACACGGTGCCACTTCAATATCCGGAAATGTCGCATGGGGCTGGGGGTCGGCTCTTTTTTTTCGTTTCTAACCTGCAGTTAGAAATCGATTCTCTCTATCAAGAATATACCATCTTGTAGAGAATGAAATTCTCTATCGAATGGTATATTCACTGTCTCGTTGCAATGGATTTTAGCTGGACACGGTGCCACTTCAAGGTCCGAAAATGTCGCATGGGGCTGGGGGTCGGCTCTTTTTTTTCGTTTCTAACCCGCGGTTAGAAATCGATTCTCTCTATCAAGAATATACCATCTTGTAGAGAATGAAATTCTCTATCAAATGGTATACCCGTTCTCTTTTTGGAATCGGTATATAGTCGACTAGAGGCTGTCTGAATAGCGCAAATCGTGTTACGGGAATATCGGTCGTGTTTTTTTTCATGTTCGAACACCGTGTTTAGGAATGGATTTCGCCTATGATGAAAATACAGTGTTGTAGAGAATATGATTTTGTAGGAGATGACGTGTGGCATTCGTTCTGCCAACGACCTGTTTGGTGTAGAAATTTAATTTTTTGTTTAAAATGTTGTTGTTTTTTTTTCGTCGTGCTAGCTTCACACTCGTTTCTGGTTGCTAAATCCGCCATGGCCGAATTGTTGGCCTTCACGTTGATGTTTTTTGATTTTTGATTTTCTGATTGGTTATTCAAACGACCTGTATATTTTCGTGTCTCGTCGTGGTAATACGTCGTGTCGCGCTAGCTTCACATCGATGTTTCTCACTACTAAAAATACAAAAGTTGCTTACAAAATATGAATTCATCTTGTTTTAGAATTAAAATAATTTGATTAGATTTTCAGATATTAATTTAACAGAATCATTTCGATAGTGTTACTTTTTTTGTATTAATCATCTGATCATTATGAAAAATAAAAGCATAAATAATCAACGTTTTTGACATATCTAAAAAGGATTTTTTTTTTTAAATCTGTGCAAAAAATGCCCTGTCTAACATCCTTATAATCGTAATCAGTCACTGTTCGAGTGAAGAAAGTGTACATCATTTGATAATGAAAATTTTTCTTATTTCTTCAATGACAAAAACAGATTTTGTTTATATTCTATGCTTTTTCGTCAAGGTATTATTCGAAAATATTCTTTCACTCGCTTCTCTATCGTTGATCTTTTGTTTTGTCATTCCGAACACAATAATCATTTGAATGTCAAACAAGGGCTTAAAATGTTCTAGTACAGACATAAATCAATAGTTATCATCCTTCGGAGCACTTTCTCAAGTGCAAGGAGATGAATTGTATTCAGTAACGCTCATCTATCACTTTCTTAGGTCTTTGAAAGTCGTCAACCCTAGTCTTTATACTTCATTTCAATATTTTCTTAAAAATTTATTTTATTTTGACAAAATTATAGATCAGAATGTGATTATTTCTTTCGAATATCTAGCTTTGACAGTGTCAATTACTAATCAAATAGACTAATGAATAAATCATTTGCATTTATTCTTTCACGAAAGTAGACAATAGGAATTGTTAAGCAGGAGAGTAGAGTACTATATCTTATGGGTCCGATATGATATTGACCGGTACGAATACGTCTACGAAAATGAGTACCCGAATCGTACTCTAATTTCTTCGTCACTATTTTGGATAGTCATAAAAATA